ACAGAATTGCATTTAGAACATTAGAAAATATCACAGTGTATTACAAGTCAATACATACATATATTTATCACAGGGTAATATAAGGATTATCTCTGGAAATTATATTAAACAGAACCATAGGGATAATTTCAAATATTGTACTTTAAAATATACATATAGTATATACCATATAGTACCTGGTTTCCCAGTGATTGGGAATCCCCTACCTACTTGGTCCGCCGGTAACACATGGTATTCATGATCTAGTAATTTTAAAATAATTGGCCAGATGCATGTTCTCAACGTAAGGATTTTAGAATAACAATAAAAATTAAATTAAATTAAAAACAATAGTTATATACGCGTATCATGGACCATTAAACTAACTAACTAGCCAGGGAGTTCTTATGTAGGCTGAAGACGTTGTACAGCTGTAGTAATGAAGTTTGTATATTGTATTATCATATCTGGTACCCTTTGCCAAGGAGCCTTAGAATTAGATGCAGTAAGTTCATTTATAGATTTCATTTTGTTCTAAGAGGTGTCGAAATCTGTAAAAAGCCTTTTTAATGATGATTTAAGTCATACCTTCTGATTTACGTACTAGTACTTTTGGTGTGTCTGAATTACTCGGGAAGACATGTCAGTCAATTGCCGGACCTTACAAGCATGAAATAAATTCATACCCATCAATCAAGATAATGAACGCAATAGCGTCAAGCTGAGTTTCGCGGGTTTAGTCCGTAGTTAGCTAGTATCAATACATTATAATAGTATGCGATGTATGTTGTAACAGAAGCTGGATTTCCCACTGCCGGTGAAACATGTATATGTGTGTACTATTTCAGGTAATATCATACGTGTTATCTATGTAATCGTAATCTACATTTTATCACAATATTTTATCACTACACACGACGCAAACTCACTTTACGTCATGTTTATCATCAAAGTTATCCAGCACATCAAATTTGTTGTGAAATTCATCTTAGCTCATACATATTATCAACGTATTTAAGCATACTATTTATGGTAAAATCGATGTATATATATATATATATATATATATTATACACATTTTTTAAAGAAGTTTTACATGCTTCCATGTGATTTGTATGAAATAAATAAAAAATTTCCAACCGACTGTTGGACCATTTGACTCGTCAGGCAACCTAAGGTTTTACGTTGTTATACAATTTTTAGATAGATTTATATAGGGATTGAACGGCGTTTCTTAATTTTCATGCCGGTATGAACGTAAATCGGTTACATCCATAGGGCTTCATGTTTAATAGGAATTTGACCGATTTGCGTTTACACCTGCATGAACATCAGAAAACGCCGTTCAATCCATATATTTACATTTTTACTATAGAATAATTGTTTGAAGATATTTTTTTTTGTTCTTAAATAATTGATCTATTTACTGCATTTTGTATATGCGTCGTCCTTGAAACGACATTGTCGGAACAGCCCTTTTTAAAGAAAATTGGGCATCGAAAACTAACCGTTGCATTTGGGCGTTTGACGCAGGGGCATTCTCCATGTTATCCAAAGCGAAGCGACAAAACTCTTATTGATCAAGGTTAATCTATGACGTAATAAGAGAGTTTTTGCTTTTATACATGTACTCAAATGAAATGCATTTCTCTGGTAAAGTTCATATAGTGGTTTGCAGCGCAAATGTAAATATATGCAAATGACTGTATCTCTGACATCAAAACGGCAAGATTGAAAAGTACGACAGGACAACATCATCGCTGATGGTTCGTGAATTTATTTCATTCACTCACATCTTATTGATTAAAAAAAAACATATTTAGTTGAGGTTACATATATATCTGATAATAGTTTTGTTGGTAAAAGTTCAAGTTTAGCACAAAACAAAACTACAAAATGACAACGGGTTATTCTCATAAAGTTGTCTAAAGTGTTCGGGCAACATCCAAATCGAATTAAAATGATTTCTCATCAACAAATTAATTAAGAATATCAAAGGATTTCTCGTCGAATACCCTTCATGTTTCATGAGTATGATGGATTTCCTCAGACATGCTATCGTACTTATTGAATTTGTCATAGAACCATGATATCTCAAGTGATCCTTAAAAACGATATCATTATGATGGGAGCATATTGATTTTACATAACAAACACATGTCGCTTTTATATCGTGATGCAAGTATTGATATAATGTTATAATCAATGTTCATAGTATATACCTTTGTAAAGACAAACTTTAATACGCCTTCCAAACTAAGTACTATTCATGTAAACTTTTTTTCTCACAAAGCTTCGACGTCGAGCCACTTTTATTCGATCTGAAGAGGTCAGAGTGGATACCATCAGTATATGAACAGTGAGTTAACAAACAGGCATCCTTTAAATGACCAGATGATGGAGTGTGTCCTAAGTAGAACGACAAACACAAGTCTAAGGTTTAGGTCCGTAATCGAGATATCGAGGCCCAGTTTATAACCTCAGATTCAGATAAGAGCTATATTGCTTGTCGTTCTACTGAGGCCCATTACATCATTATACCATATAACAATAAAATGGTGACATTTTACGGTCGCCATCACTTGTAACTTTGACTTAAGTCAGTGGTAACCTCTTTACTCTCCTGACTTGAGGGAGAACTTATATGTCTGGTTTCTCTTCCAAGTTTAATCGTTTATGATGAATTATCCTTCGACCTGAAGCCTCCTAGTATTTTGTTGGTGACTTTTCATAAAACCTTGAAATAGGATTTCTTTGTGCATTAACGATATACAGTAGAACATTGTTTTTTTTTCCATTTTAACTGTGGAATGATATGTCATAAGTATGATCTTTTTTAATTTCAGATGTAATGATGTCCAATTCGGACCAACGTTAAATTAATATATATAGGTACACGTATATATTTATTTAATGTAAATAGTGCAGCTTATTTCTCCCAACTCTGCGTATGCAAGATACACGTGCCCTGTGTAGAACATCCATATGGGACAACTCCGTCCCTCAAAGTACACCTGATGGCCCAAGTTCAACCACTGCAAATTTTCAAAATTATCATTAAAAATTTCATCAAAATAAATGTTTTCGTTCAAAATGTTCATTACAATATCGGCTAACGTTCTCAGACGTGGCGTCATTTTGATATCATATGACATCATTAAAATAACATTTTGGTGAGCGGAACAATATTTTTCGCCAAAACAAAGTCGGTATCCGGTATCGCCTCACGGAAATACAAAACAATTGAACAAACTTGATGTAAAGCTTTTTCAAGGTGCTTGAATATAAAGTTATATACCTCTGGCCTTCCATATATTTTTTGCTCCGTCTTGGTAAGCAAGATACCTGAAAAATCTACTTTATCTCTTGAGGTGCAGAGAGCAAAAGAGAGCGTAAACAAGTATGATGTTTAAGGTGTTTATACATTTTCCGATTAAAAACAAGTATGATGTTTAAGGTGTTTATACATTTTCCGATTAAAGTAACGATATATATAAAATGAGTCTTGTGCCTTATTCTTGTCATGTATCGTCCGATTCAAAAAGAATTGTAGAGTCACGCGCGATGTCATCCCAGAATGAGTTGTCCGTGGAACGACATGAAAAGTCCTGTTTAACACCGTAACGTTCCACTTTCAGCCCGGCCCCGGAGTTTTTTCGGTCATGAGGCTCTATTCTGATGGCATTCCGAGATGCTACACCGGCGTCCTCTGAGAAGTAGTTAAATGGCAGGAGGAGGAATCCAACGTCCATCCCGGGGGTAGGGGTGACCGGGAGGTCCTCGGTGTGAGGAATGTGGTGCATCCCTACCGTTAGCCATGCAACGAGATCCTAGGGATAAAGATAACACAACGTTAGGTACGGACACAACGAGGAATATACAGAATCAAAAGTTAGGAAGTGGAAGTTTACAAAATGCAACTATATATACTTTATAAACAAAATGTGTTGAAAATACAAAGTTAGATACTCTCTAATCTGAGCTCTACTAATTCGAAGTTAGATACTCTCTAAGCTAGAGATGTACAAATACAAAAATGCATCATCTAGAGCTGTACAAATACGAAGTNGATACTCTCTTATCTGAGCTGTACAAATACGAAGTAAGATACTCTCTAATCTGAGCTGTACAAATTCGAAGTAAGATACTCTCTTATCTAGAGCTGTACAAATACGAAGTTAGATACTCTCTAATCTAGAGCTATACAAATACAAAATTTGATACTTTCTAATCTGAGCTGTACAAATACAAAGTTAGATACTCTCTAATCTGAGCTGTACAAATACAAAGTTAGATACACTCTAATCTAGAGCTGTACAGTTACAAAGTTGCATAGTCTAGAGCTGTACAAATACGAAGTTTGATACTCTCTTATCTGAGCTGTACAAATACGAAGTAAGATACTCTCTAATCTGGGCTGTACAAATTCGAAGTAAGATACTCTCTTATCTAGAGCTGTACAAATACGAAGTTAGATACTCTCTAACCTAGAGCTGTACAAATACGAAGTTAGACACTCTCTAATCTAGAGATGTACAGATACGAAGTTAGATACTCCCAATGCTGAGCTGTACAAATACTAAGTTAGATACTCTATTATCTAGAGCTGTACAAAAACGAAGTTAGATACTCCTAAAGCTAAGCTGTACAAAATATAAGTTAAATACTTCCTAATCTAGAGCTGTGCAAATACGCAGTTGGATTCTCCCAAAGCTGAGCTGTACGATTACTAAGTTAGATACTCTCTAATCTAGAGCTGTACAAAAACAAAGTAAGATACTCTCTAATCTGAGCTGTACAAATACGAAGTTAGATACTCTCTAATCTAGAGCTATGCAAATACAAAGTTTGATACTTTCTAATCTGAGCTGTACAAATTCGAAGTTAGATACTCTCTAATCTAGAGCTGTACAAATATAAAGATAGATACTCTCTTATCTAGAGCTGTACAAATACAATGTTGCATAATCTAGAG